GTTCTTGTTTTCATTTTTCTTTCCCCACCCCCCCCAGCAATCTTTCTGGAACTTCTCAGCTGCTTTACAGAACAGCACTATTTCAAGCACTGAACTTGAAGAATATCCAGCAAGGGATATTTGTCTTGTGGCACAATGGAAGTCATATTTAATAAACCTGTTCATCTTTTCCAGGGTATTTCCTGAGCTAAGTTTTGTGTTCTACTGGTTAAAAGCTAAAATCCGAAGTAAATACCGACTGCAACACTGTACTGAGTTCCTTGGTATAATGCTGTGGTAGTGGAAGTTTCTTAATGTAAATACAGGCTGTCCTTTTGATTCTTGTATATAACTCCAGTTCCTGTATAGTTTAAGAACACTTTAGTCACACATTTCTAATCATGGATAGGTTTAGCTACAGTAGCGTAATGTTTCCAGTGGATGTCTGGGTTTCAGCAGGGAAACAGGTTATGGGGAGGGAGGGGGGACCTAACTGTGTGCACTTTTAGATGTTAATTACATTTGCGGGCAAAAAACTGTAATGCAAATGGTACTGGAGAAATACTGAGTGTGCTTGCTAAACTGTTAATGCACTACAAGAGGAGCCTTTTAGGTTATTTAATATGTACAGGATACATTAGGAAAATGTATTATGAATTCTAACATCTACAAATAGTGAAACTCATGTTTTGATAGATAGATGTTTGACGGAATCCATGATGCTAAATTTAAGATTTTTCTTTTTACATTAATGTAGAATAATTTGTAAAATTGGGTTTGAAAGATTTTTTGTTACAGGGAGCATGGTCTGCTGAAGATTTTTTTAAATGTATTTTTCTAGACTAACTGCTGTATCTGACATATTTGTTATGTCTAACCTGAATAAAGAAAACCATTAGTTCTTTTAGATTTTGCCATTCCCGCTTCAGACAACACGAACCCCCTTTAACCAATGAGACCGGTGTATCTTACTGCTTAGCATGGATACTACTCGGGGCAGAGAGTTGTCCTGCTGGGTTAAAATGCTTCCCTTATAGCCTGACAACTTCAGGAACTTCCCTGTCCCTTTCTTTAACAACTTGAATTCTAACGTAACACGCAGAGAGGGCAGAAGTAACGTATGGGTATAAGTTGGTGGTCTTCAGGACACGTCCCAGTTTTCTGGGAACGCACTGTACAGAAAGCAGACACTTTGGGGAAATAACTGTATTTTGCCTTTGCTCCGTTGCGTACTTTTCACAACGCAGTTCTGCCTTACAGCAAAGGGGATGTGTGGTGAAGTACGGAGGTGTAATCGGATGAGTGGTACGAGAATTTCATGAGTACAAGGCTTGCATGAAAAAGTCTTCGGAGATGAAAGAGATGAGTTTCCTTGTGGCTTTCTCGCTGTCGTCTTGTGGTAATGGTGAAGTCTTGTGGTTTGTTGCAGAGCGACCTGGGTGAGAATGGTGACAGCTCCGTCTCGGCGTTGTCTTGTCAGCCTTCCGGGTAGGCTGTCACGTGAGAGCGCTGCCGAGGGGTGGGTGTGCCCCAGCCTCCTAGAAAACATCAACAACGTTGAAATCTGTTGCTATAGATTATTCAAATCCCAAATTAAGCTGTAAAATAATAAAAAGAAAAAAACAATTCCCATTGCTAAAGGAGAGGGCTTATCCACAGGTCACCTTTTCTGTACGAGTGTTATGTTTTTCAAAGGAAAAATGCCTTTTTAAAACAAATTGATAATGAGGATGTCACTTTTCCTTGTATTCCCCCAAAATAAAGCATTTTGTTATTACAATATACCAGTTACGGATTTCTTCACTTTCACAGCTGGAGAGAGACGTGGACACAAAAAAGACAAGGCAGATATACGCAGTCCTTTCCTGTAAACTATTTTCAAATTAGTTGCATGTAACCAAAGCATCCTACGTGCAAGTGGAGGGTCATGCTTACTGCCCAGGCCCAGACTTTCCTCCCCATCTTCACAGAAAACCAAGATAAATTCCCTTTGTGCTGAACCCACTGTACCCTGGCAAGTTAATCCTTGACTTGCAGCATGAGAGAGAGGGGAGTTTGTAGGTAATACAGTATCAGTTTATTCCTATGTGAAGCCCTGACTTTTTCCCTTTGGAGGGAACAGCTTTATTTAACCCCAAAGTAATGATATTTTCAGAATTGTTGGCTTAATTCACGGGCCGTAATGTAAATCAAGCACAGTGGGGCATTCTGCTGGGTGAAGGGGGAGGTACAGCATGTCTAATGAGGCCGCCTGCCTTCGCCAGGGAGAGGAGAGCTCCTCCGAAGAATCTTAATTAGCCGCCACAATTGTGATGTTTTGTGGGCAAGCAGCTGGTAGGACTGGATCAGACCTTTACAAAAGTAGCCCTGGGGGATTGTGGGACCTAAATGAACATTTTTTTTTCCGCCCATAGCATTCTTGTAAACAGAGCACTTGTAAAACAAGATCGCACTGTGTAACAAACCAACATGAAAGACATTCAGAGGTGACTTGGCCTCTTGGTGCTTTTTATTGCCTTGAGAATTAAATGGCAGCTCTAATATTAGAGTTTCCTACAACTTCCCCAAATGGATTTGAGTTTGTTGAAGTACTAAGCTACTACTTTATTTCAGAAGAAGAAATCCGTGTTGCATTTAGCAAACTCAGAACTGCAGAGTGGAACACCCAGGGATACATCAGGTTTATTTCTCACAGAACCTCATCTGCAGCTTATTGCACTAAAACGTAGTTGGCGAGGGAAGGGGAGAGCAGATCTTTAGTGTGGGAATAAGGAAATTGAAAACACTGATGGCAACCAGGCAAAGAAGGTGTGATGGACAAGCAAGATAGCAAAGAAACAGTCAGAAAATCTGCAGGAATCCAGGCCAGAAACCTGGGAGAAAGCCAGGCTGCCAAGAGTCTGTTGGGGTTGTTTTTCCTTCTTTACTTCACTTCATACCATACAGAGGAGGGGGACTTTTTACAAGGGCCTGTAGTGACAGGACAAGGGGTAACGGGTTTAAATTGGAAGTGGGGAGGTTTAGATTAGATATCAGAAAAAAACTCTTCCCAGAGAGGGTGGTGAGGCAGTGGAACAGGTTGCCCAGAGAAGCTGTGGATGCCCCATCCCTGGAAGTGTTCAAGGCCAGGCTGGACGAGGCTTTGAGCAACCTGGTCTAGTGGAAGGTGTCCCTGCCCATGGCAGGGGGGTTGGAACTAGATGATCTTTATGGTCCCTTCCAACCCAAACCATTCTATGCTGAAGGCCTGGCTATGTTTTGCAAGGGTAAGTTGCTCTGTAAGCAGATGGAGTTCAAGTGACATTGCAAAATGGCAGTGCCCACCTTTCTCTGGACTTTTCCAGAGCAGCTTCTGTGTGTCAGCTCCTCAGTGATGCGCTTGTGTCCAGGTTCACTTGACACAAACACCCACGTGCTAATGGGAGTCAAGAACTGTGTTTCACCAATGTGATGTGAATGCACAACTGGCATCCGTGTGACACAAAAACATACTTGTTCTCAGTTTGGCAGCATTATCCTCAACGCTGAGCGTCCCCTCCGAGATCCGAACCTTGTGGCACCAGATCCTGAAGAGCAGGGGCAGCCCTGTCTGTTGAAATCTCAGCACACCAGAAGAAAGAAGTGTCTGAAGCTGAAAAAATGGGAGGACACAGCCAAAATTAAAATCCCAAAGCTAAGCTGTCTTTGCAACCAGTTTAGATTTGCATGTATGGTACAAACCTGCTCAGAATAGTTTGTTAATTCATAGTGTGAAAGATACAGCTGTCCTCCAAAAAAACCGCTGCCGCTGCGTTGCCTGGCCACCAACGTGCCCGTGCTCTCTGCCTTTTCTTTACCAGGAGGGTGATGCTGAGCTGGTTGGCTTTCTGCGTGTGAGTGTCCTGCCTCGCTGCTCTTTCCAGTAAAAGGAGGTACCTAACCTGAAATGGAACTGAAACCAACCTTTTTCCAAGACAAACTTTCCTATCAGCCCAGGCTGGGCAGCGCTTTGCCTGCAGGCACTTCTGCTGCCGCTGAGCTCACCTGCCTGCTGCAGGGATGCCCTCCCCGGGTACCTAGCAAGCGCATCCTCTGTGGGTGCGGGCCTTGGCGAGGCCCCTGCCAACACACGCCTGACCTGCTCAGCTTCACAGCTTTCTTCTGTGAAATAAACCAGGGATGTGATTGTGCAAGAGGTAAAGCCTCTCCTCTGGCACTCCCTTAAAGCATTATGTACAACGCATTATGTACAACGAAGGATGCCACCGTATTTCCCACTACGAAACAGCTGTTTCACAGCTGAAGTGCTGTTCTTGCTCATATACTAGTCCTGCTCTAAGTTGCATCTTTGAAGTTTTAAAGATAAGACATCTTTTCCTATTAATCACTCCTTTTCCTGCATCCACCCACCTGCTATTCCTGCCGCACTGAAAGTCAGTCTGACTTGGACCGTTTGCTTCCTTATTTGTCCAACATTCTGGAGCCCGGGGGCTGGAATGCACTGTGCTTCGCCTGCCGAGGCTGAGGTGTGGGCTGCTCCGCCACAGACACTTCAGTAAAAAGCAGTTGTCAGCATTAATGCTAAATAATAAGGTAAATTAAAAAAAAAAGTGCCAAAAAAATAAAGCCCAGACTAGAAGAATAAAAAAGTAGTCCTTTCCAGGTGATAGTTAAAGCAGGTTGCATGCTGCTACCCTGTTTCCCAGAGTGCCTGTTCATCTCCTATATTG